GGGGACAGCCAGGGCACACAGAGCCCCGTGAGCACATCGGCCCTCTGCATCAGCAACAGCGACTTGCCATCGATCTCCTGGGGACATGGGGACATGGGGGACACCATGGGGACATGGGGGACACCATGGGGACATTGGGGACACCATGGGGACAATCCTGGGGACACTGGGGACAGCCCTGGGGACAGAATCTGGAGCAGCCCCAGGCGAGGGAGGAGGGTGGGGTGAGGGGGGGTGAGGTTATCTATGGGGGAAATGGCACTTGGGGACACCTGGAGACACGAAGGGACACAGGGACAGTGGGGACACCCCCAGGGACAGAGGGGACACTCTAGGGACACCCTAAGGACACCCCAGGGACAGAGGGACAGAGTGCAGGGATGGACACGGAGGAATTTTGCAGGGTAGGGAGGGAGCATTGCTGGGGACACCCAGGGTGGCAGAGGGAGCCCTGGGGACACTGTGGGGACACTGTGGGGACACTGTGGGGACACAGGGTGACAGGGGTGTCCCCACCTGCTCCTGGAAGGCCCCGGCCTGCTCAGGGAAGCCGGCCTCGGTGAAATACTCGACCACGTCCCGCACCGACCACTCCACTGGATCCACGGCCTTGTCCTTGCGCCCGGCCCTGGGGACACGGGGACACCGTCACCAAGATGGGGACACGGTCACTGCGACACTGGGAAGGACGGGGGGACACCAGCGGGAACAGGAGGACACCGGGACACGGTCACCGAGACAGGGGACACTGTAGGGACAGGGTCACGGCAACAGGGGGGGTGACACAGGGACAGGGGACAGCCAGGGGGGACATGGGGACAATGGTCATGGGGACAGCAGGACACTGGGTAGGACACGAGGGGACACAGAAGGACATGAGGACACACTGTGGGGGACACAAGTGACAAAGAGAGACACAGGTGACATGGGGATGGGAGGGGACACTGGGTGAGACACAGGTGACACAGAGGGACACAGGTGACACAGAGGGACAGGAGGGGACACTGGGTGAGACACAGGTGACACAGAGGGACAGGAGGGGACACAGGTGACACCGGTCCCTGACTCACGTGCAGCTGAACGGGGCCCCCTCGGCGCCCTGGGGGCCCGGCCGGCCTGGGGACAGTGGCACTGAGGGCTCTGCCCCTGCCAGAGCTGGGGACACTGCAGGGACAGGGAGGGGACAGTGAGGGGACAGCCCGGACTGACCCCCCCCCCATCCCTGAACTGCCTCACTCCAATCCCCCTACCCCAAACACCCCCAGAACTGCCCCCAGCACCCCCAGAACCACGGCCCTCCCCCTCGTACCTGCTCTGTCGGGCTGCCCAAAGGCCCCCTCCTTTTTGAGGGGAGCCATGTGCTGGCAGCCCCCCTCCCCCGGGGCACAGGCCTTGGGCTGGGGGGGCCTCTCGGGGGGCGGCTGCCCCGGGGGGCGCAGGGGGGGCCCCCCCCGGCCCTCCCCGTTCAGCTGCCGGGGGGGCCCCGCGTCCTCCGAGGCCTCCGAGCCCGTCCCGTCCTCGTCTTCCTCGTCCTCATCCTCCTCCTCCTCCTCCTCCTCCCGTGCCGAGGCCTCGCTGCTGCTGCAGGGGGGCTGGGGGAGCCCCCACAGGTCACAGCATTAAGGTCACCCCACTGAGAACCCCAAAAACTGGACCCTCCCCCGAAAACCTACGGCCCCCCGAAAGTCTGTGAACCCCCAAAAAACTGACACCGAAATTTACAGCGAAACAGGGGCTCCAAAGCTGCACCCTCACCCCTGTGTAACGTGTCTCCACCTCCCCAAAAAATTCAGAGCACCCTCAGTCCTGAAAGCCACCCCCTCCCAAATCCACTACACCCCCAAATTCTGCAGGGTCCCTCAATTCTGCTTTCCCAACATGTCCTGGGGTTCCCCCAACCTCCCAGGCCCCCACCTTGGTTCTTGGTGACCCCAAAAGCCCCTCAGATCCCCTTGGTGACCCCCAAAACCCCCTCAGATCCCCTAAAGTCCCTTCCACCCCCCACCCCCCAGTTCTCTTGGGGGTCCCCAACATCCCCTTGAGATCTCTGCTGTCCCCTCAGGGTCCCCCCCAAATCCCTTTCTGTGTGTCCCATGTCCCCTCCACCCATTTAAGCCCCACTTGTGTCCCCACCAACCCTTCAGGGGTCCCCTCCGGTCCCCAGAGCCCCCTCAAGACCCTCGGACACCCCAAATTCCCAGCGCTTCACCCCCTAGAGCCCCTCCAGTCTCCTCCATGCCCTCAGGGTCCCCTCAGCCCTCCCGGCTCCCCCTCACGACCCCCGAACCCCTCAGGGCCCCGGTGCCCCCTCACGACCCCCGAACCTTTCCCCAATGTCCCCTCAGGGCTCCCCCCGGGACCCCTCACGACCCCCGGGCCCCTCATGTCTCCCCCCATTCCCGCAGCCCCCATCCTTTTAGGATTCTCTCAGGCCTTCCCGGTGTCCCCTCACGACCCCCGAACCTTTCCCCAGCGTCCCCTCACGGTGCCCCCGTTCCCCTCAGGCCTCTCCGGTTCCCCCTCACGACCCCCGGGCCCCTCCGTTCCCCTCAAGGCTCTCGGCCCTTCCCGCGCTCCCCCTCACGACCCTCGGGCCCCTCAGGGTCCCCACACGCCCCCCCCTGTCCCCGGACCCGCCTCTTCCCCTCACGTCTGGTCCCTTTCACGACCCCCGGACCCTTCCCCAGTGTCCCCTCACGACGCCCGGTGCGCCATTCCCGCGCTCTCCCTCACGACCCCCGCACCCCCCATTCCCCTCAGGACTCCCCTCAGCGCCCCGGTGCCCCCTCACGACCCCCGGTGCTACAACCCCGCCTTCCCGCGCTCCCCCTCACAACCCGGGCCCCCCGTTCCCCTCAGCCCCTCACCGCTCCCCCTCACAACCCGGGCCCCCCGTTCCCCCCGTTCCCCTCACAACCCGCGGCCATCGTTCCCCTCACCGCTCCCCCTCACGCCCCCTCCTCACCTTCCGCGCCCTCCCCGCGGCCGCTCTCCCGCGCTCCCCGCGGGCCGTAGCGATGGCGCCCAGCCGGGTGCGCTCGGGCCGGGCCCCTCCGCCCGCTCCGCCGCCGCCGCCGCCTCCCGCCCCGGGGGCCGCCCCGGCCGCTCCCCCGGCACCACCGGGCGCGGCCGAGCCCTGGAGGCGGCCGCGGGTGAGGCGGCCGTCGCCGCCGAGCAGCCGCGCGGTGTCGCGGAGGCTGACGGGCGGCGGGCGGCGAGCAGGCGGCGGCGGGCGGCGGGGCGGCTGCACGCGGGCGGCGTTGCGGTACGAGATGCTGCCCTTGTAGGAGACGCGGAGCACGGCGCGCTGCTGGATCAGCTTCTCCAGCTCGGCACGGGTGCGCTCGGGCTCGGGGCCGTGCCGCCGCCGCACCATGCGGCAGATGCGCTCCAGGTCCGGCCGCGCCTTGCGCGAACGCAGCGAGTCGATGGTGTCCAGGATCCACTCCTGGTACCGCGGGGCCTGCTCGGGGCCCGGCGGCGGCGGCGGCGGCGGCGCCATGGCCCCCCCCCCGCGGCACCGCCGGCCCCCCCCTCCCGCGCCCCTTCCTCCTCCTCCTCCTCCGCCCCCGCTCCGCCCGCGCGCGCCCGCCGGGAGGAGGAGCCGCGGCCGCCGCGCGCGCGCGCGCCTCGGGGAGGAGCCCGGCCCGAACGGCCGCGCCTACGGCGGAGCCACGCCCACTGCATAGCCACGCCCGCGGCGGAGCCACGCCCACAAATAGGGCCACACCCACAGCAGGACACGCCCATGACAAAAACCACGCCCACAGATCTGAAACCACACCCGCGCCCACTGCAAAGCCACGCCCATAACGGAGCTAAAACCACGCCCACTGCAAAACCACGCCCACTGCAGGGCCACGCCCATAAGGGCGCCAAACACACGTACATAGCAAAGCCACGCCCACGATAAAAGGCCACGCCCACATCTGTGCTGAAACCACACCCAGACGAGAAGCCCCGCCTCCTGGGATTAAGCCACGCCCACCCGGAGAAAAAACATCCATATATGAAAAGCCACGCCCCCATGTGACAGGCCACGCCCACTGCCGGCACCCCCAGTTCCCCCCAAAATGGGGTCCCCCAAACCCATGGGGGCCTCCCAAAACCATGGAGCCCCCCCCAAAATCCATGGAGTACCCCCAAATCCATTTGGGTGATCCCGCATTCCAGGACCCCCCAAACCCATTGGGGTCACCCCAAACCCATGGGATCATCCCAAAATCCATGGGGTCACCCCAAAATCCGTGAGGTCACCCCGAACCCATTGGGTTGATCTCCCACTCCGAGGCTCCCCAAACCCAAGGTCCCCCCTCAACCAGGGACATGACAAACCCGTGGACCCCCCAAAATCTATGGGGTCACCCCAAAATCCATGGAGCTCCCCCAAACCCATGGGATCACCTCCAATGCCATGGGGTCACCCCAAAATCCATGGGGCCACCCCAAACCCATGGGGTCACCCCGAACCCATTGGGTTGATCCCCCATTCCAGGGCCCCCCAAATCCAAGGCCCCCCCTGAACATGGGACACCCCAAATCCATGGGGTCACCCCAAATCCATGGGGTCCCCATCCTCAGGGGCTCCCCAAACCCACAGAACCCCCCCAAACCCACAGAACCCCCCCAAATCCATGGGTCACCCCAATTCCGGGGTCCCCCGAAATCATGGACACCCCAAACCAATCGGGGTCCCCCCAAATTTCCAAGGTTCCCCCTCCAAACCATTTTGGGTGACCCCCAAAATTTCCAAACCGGATTTTGGAAGTCAAACTTTATTGATTTTCATTTCCAACGAAGCCTTGGGGGCACCCCCACCTCAAAAACACCCCAAAAATGGGGGTGCACCACCCTGAGACACCCCAAAACCCCCCAAAATGGGGGGTGACAGCCCTGGGACCCCTCAAAGCTCCTGGGGTTCAGGTGCATTTCAGGTATCTCCAGGTTTGGGGGTGCAGCCTTTATGGGGTTCATAGGATTTTGGGGTCCAGGTGTGCATTTCAGGTACCTCCAGGTGTATATTTTGGGGTCCAGGTGTGTAATTTCGAGGTCCAGGTTTGCAGTTTGGTGTTCAGGTGTTCAATTTTGGGGCAAGATGTGCATTTTTACATTCCAGATGTGCATTTTTAGGTTCCAGATGTGCATTTTTGGGGTCCACATGTGCATTTTAGGTTCTGGGTGTATATTTCGAGTTCCAGGTGTCCATTTTGGATTCCAGGTGTGCATTTTGAGGTCCAGGTGTATATTTCGGGATCCAGGTGTGCCTTTCTGGGGTCCAGATGTGCATTTCGGGTCCCTCCAGGTGCTCTGGGGGTCAGGTCCTGCCAGGTCCCCAAAGCTCAGCACGATCTGGGGGGGCAAAAAAAATCCCCAAAATCCCAAAAATCCCCTCAAAACCTCCCCAAATCCCCCCCAGAGACCCCCAAACTACCCAGGGATCCCCAAAACCTCCCAGAGACCCCTCCCCAAAAAAAGCCCCTGGGACCCAAAATCTCTCAGGGATCCCCCAAATGTCCCCCAGGACCCCCCTGGGGACACCCCAAAGTGACAAGGGACACGTTGGGGACATGGGGGGTGACAGGGATGACCCTGAGGACCATCCTGGGGGATATGGGGACAGCTGGGGACACCTGTGTGACACCTGGGGACAGGTGTGTGACACCTGTGTGACACCTGGGAACATCCCAAAGGGGACAGGGGACACCCCAAACCACAGAGACCCCCCCCCAAATCGGACTGAGGACCCCCAAAGGAACGGGAGGCGACAAGGGGGGGGACCCCAAAAGGGACAAAGGCCACCCCACCCCCCCCCCGGCCCCTCCTCACCGTGTCCGGAGCTGTCGCCGGGCGATGTCCCCAAGGTGGGGGGGGAGGGGCTCAGATTTGTCCCCAAGGCCACACCCGACCCCCCCGGGGCTCCCAGTACGGCCCAGTCAGACCAGTGAGACCCCAACGGGGGAAACTGAGGTAGGAGCGACCCCTCCCCCCCCCAAAAAAAGGGGACAAGGAGGGACCTTTGGGGGGGGTCTCTCTGCCCCTCCCCCCCTCAGTCACGGCTCACTCTGGGGGACCCCTCCCCGTTTTTGGGGTCCCTCCCCGTTTTTGGGGTCCCCCCGGCCCTGGCACCCCCCGTAGCGGAGGAGGCGCCCCAAAAGCAGCGCCCAGAGCAGCGCCTGCAGCCACAGCTGGAACGGGGGGTCCCAACCCCAGCCGGGACCCCCGGGGGACATCCCTGGTGACCCCCCGGTGTCACCCCCGTGTTCCCTCGGTGTTACTCCCGCTGTCCCCTCGCTGTCACCCCCGCTTTTGTTCCCAAATCCCCGGAGAATGGGGAGGGGTCGGGCCTGACCCGGCCACGCCCCCCGGTCCCCCCCAAATCCATCCCGGGGGTACCGGGAGCGGCCCCCGCCCCTCCCCCCTCCCTCGGCCGGGACCGCGCCCTGCCGGGACCACGCCCCTTTCATCAGGCCACGCCCACGTTTCCATGACAACGGTGCCACGGCAACGCCCCCTACCGGAAGTCACGCCCACATCGCCACGGCAACGGCGCCTTGAAAACGCCTTTACCGGAAGTCACTCCCGCGTTGCCGTGGCAACCGAGCACGCCGCCCCGCCCATCTCCATGGCAATCCCGCGTGCCTTTTGTTGCTATGGCAACGCCCCTGCCGAGGCCACGCCCACTCCCAATGGTACCTCCAGGCTTCGCCCACTCCCAGGCCACGCCCACGCGTTCCCATGGCAACCGCGCCCCTTTTCCTGACCCCGCCCCCGCTGAGGAGGCGGTGACACCCACGGGGCGGGAGGGGGACCCCAGACCCTTCCCCGTCCCCCCCCCCATCCCCTGCAGGCCCTGTCCGGCACCCCCTGTTCGCTCACTGGGGCACGGCACCCCCGGTCCCGGAGCCTCCGGAGCCCCCGGTCCTTCCCTCCCCATCCCCCGGTGTTTTCCTCCCTTTAAAGGGGTGTCCAACTCAGCCCCCATCCCTGCACTCGGCTACCCCGATATCCCGATATCCCGACATCCCGCTGTTCCGCTCACCGCTCTCCAGCTTTCCCCAGTACCCGTTATCGCGATATCCCGGTGTGTATCCCGGTGCCCATCGGGACATCCCGACATTCCTGTCACTTCTGTCCCGTTCCCGCCGCCTTTCCCCTCACGGGCCTGGTGGTCCCGCCCCTCCCCCACTCCCTCCTCTCATTGGTTGCGCCGAGCAGCCGCCTCTCCTCATTGGCCAGCGCTGCCCCGAGTCCCACCCCCGCCGCTTCTCATTGGCCAGCGCTG